AAAAACAAGTTTTATAATTTTCCAGCTTTACAAAAATCCAAATATTAAGGAAGCAGCGTAGTGATTGGGTAATCAATAGTCCAATAACAATATCTTTCGTATATATCTCAGGTTGCATCATCAAAAATTCCCTCTCTATTTCTCTTGATTATTATATCTCATTCAAATTAATACATTTGCTAATTATAATTCGATCAGTTAAGACATTTATCAATATATTTTAACTTATATATATATCCATATCCTGTTTTAAACTTTTACCTAATTTCAATTACAGTGTTCCAATTTAGCTTAATATCCATAGTATATTAACCCAAATTTCCCTTATTTCATTACAAAATAGTTATCATATCTAAAATACACATAATGTTTACTTAAATAGATTCTTACTTTATTTCACAAATATATTATATTTCTCATCCTGGTACCTCATCACTTACTAATATTGTAAATCTAAGTCCTAAATATTAAATCAATTAATATCTTTTAAAATCTCCTTAGCCCATTAAGTACGATTTTAAGCTCTTCTATTATAAGACAAAAAATCCCATTTTTTAAATCTGACTCTAGCTTTCTTTTTGTGCCAAGCAGGCTTCCATACCAGTGCCTTTAAATCCTCAGGTGGATCTCCCTTCATTCCCACACATGTTATTTGAATCAAGGGAGACCATCCAGTTATCAATTTTTCAAAGGAACCGGCCCCTTTGTAATCATTGGATTGTTGGCCTAATAGTTCAACTCTCCATGTTTGGTTTAGTATAGTTGTCGTCAGTTCAGTCTGGTCTTCTTCTTTCGGTTTCATCTGGCTTAAGTAAGAAGTCATGTCCAATGTCGTGATTGTTGTTTGGTTGTCTAGGTTGTCTAGGTTCTCAATATGCTGTACTTGTTGATCTTCAGCATCCTCCATCTTAGTGTTGCTTTCTTCAGTTTCTGTTGCTTTTTGAATTGCAGATTTTTTAGTTGAAATCAAGGTTTGACTATCAAAGTTCTCAGTAGATTGTAATTGGTCTGTTGCTTTTTGGATTGTAGGTTCATCAGTTAAAATCTGGGCTTCATTTTGTAAATTTAGGGTGACACCTTTCAATCTGGAATTCATTAGCTCAGTAGCTTCAAGGGTTTTTTCAAGTATACGTTTATAGTTAAGTTGTGGGTAGTGTTCCTCCATTTCTATGGTGTTTACAGATAGTCCTTTAGTGGAGGCTGTTTTTGATAAAAGTCAGTGAATGTCCACCTCCACTATTCCTAAAACTTGTTTCCACAGATTTATGATGGTCATTTGATCACTTTTTGTAACCTTCTGTTAAGCTAAGTCAATAGGAAAGCCAGATTCACTTAACAACCATGTTACTAACTTAACAACTAGAGTGATTCACTGAACAGCTATGGGAAGAAAGGTCATAAAATGGGCAAAATTCATTTAACAAATGTCTCGCTCAGCAACAGAAATTTGGGCCATTGTGGTCATTTGTAGGCATAGAGGTGATTCTGAAGTGCCAGTCTGGACACACAAATGGGGGCACTGAAAGTCCATTGCTGTAGTCATTATAGTCATGCCACTCATGGTTTTTCTGCCAGGTTTTGATGGCTTTCTTCAAAGCTGGCGGAGCTTCATAGCAATAGCAGAGGACCCACAGTGGGTGCTGTCAGCAGCTGCAGTCTTTAGCTCCCTCAGCTGGATGTCACAGTGGTGTAGGGCAGGAGTATCAAACTGCCGACCCACGGGCTGATTGCATCATGCGGAAGCCGCATCCACCCCAGCTCCGGCAATGCAAAAAACATCACGATACTCGTGACACGACGAGTTTGACACCCATGGTGTAGGGTTTCTTTGTAGGGTGTCTTTGTAGTGCTTGTGGATCTAATTTTTCATTATTATATTGTTTTGTGATATTTAATTGTATTTCATTGTAGGTGATGATGATGTAAACCACAGGGAGTCAGTTGAGGCTGGTGGTATACAAATTAAATAAATAGTTATGTATCGGATGGCAAGTTTATATTCACAACCAAAAGTTATGCTTCGCAAATTGATAATGAACTTTTCCTTTGGAAACAGCTACAGAAATGCCTGTAATACAATTCTAAAATAAGCTACAATTCCTAAATGTATTCTGAAATACCCATCATTCATGTGAGTCTAATTAACACTTCAGGCTGATTACAGGGTAATGCATGCATATTTTGGGAATTGCTAGTTTTCCTTCCCACATACTTCCTTCTTGGCATCATTACAACTTTATCTTGACTTTTTTTTCTCTTCATACCACTCTAATGTATTTACGATTCACTGCTGATGTTTTAATATTGAAATGTTCTCTGAGAGAAATTGATTTTGGAAAAAGCACCCATTTTAACAGATATGAGTCATCCAGAAAAAAATTGAGAGGATAATGTATTAAAGGTAGACTTAGTATTCTTCATTAATCTGTTGTAATTACTTTTATAGTATTTCTTATTGCATTTGTACATAACATACATAAATACCATTCAGGGTATTTTCTGGTTATTTTTAAATGAAACTTTGTTGCTTTTCCAGGCATTTTGATCTCTCATATATTTTATAGTCTGATGACCAAAGAATGAATGAATGAATGAATGATGTTTGTTTATGGACAATCCTGTATCAAATAACAAGAGAGAGGGGAGGGAGGGAGGGAGGGAGGGAGAGAGAGAGGGAGGACAGATTGCTTATAAGATATAATTACAGGCTAAATGCATGAAAATATCACATTGCCCATTTACTTAAATATTGTAAAGTAACAGGTCAAACTTCTAGACCAATGCAGGCAAAGCAGAAAAATTATGTTTTCCAAATGCAAATATAAAATTTTATCAGGTCTACCTGGTCTATTCACTCCAAAGAGAGCAATGGGAGCAAAACAGGTATGCTAGAATCCCATTAACAAATAGTCCCTCTGGATTGCATCTAACACTAGGAGAATATCGTCACATTGGTTACAAATGTGCTGGAGACCATGATGATGTTATGCTACATTGTGGAAACTTCTGGTTTTATTTAAAGCTTTATTTAAAGATCTGGATAGAGAGACTAAAACTAATTTGATAAAGACACAAATTGCACAAAGAGTTACTTTAGCAACAACTGCATATTTTTCAATTGCAGGACTAATTCATGATCCTTGGTTCTAACTACTGTAAAGCCAGCTTGTTCATCCCTGCGTGTCCATCCACTTTGATAAGTTCACAAGAAGGTATATAGTGCACAGTTATTACTAAGTAGACTAAATCTTCTGTAATTAACAGAATGAGAACATCTTCTATTTTTAAGGACTGGGTTTCCTATGGCTAAGCCCCAGTTTCTGTATACAGAATGTTTGATTAATACAAAGTAACAAAATAGCTAGCATAAGTGCACACCATCCCACAGTGGATTTTATTAATTCTTGCAGTATAAGATCACAATTTATTATCATTATTATTGGACATTCCAACAAGATGCGAAACAGTCTATTAATTTAATTAAATCATCAGAATATAACAGACAACCAATACAAATATTTACAATAAAATTTAGGGGCTAATCTATTGGTAGTTGTAAATCATCGACCTGTGATAGATAATTAACCCCTAATTTCCGGTGGCAAAGTTTGAAGTGATGCAGTCCCAAATAACATTTAGAAAGTGATAACAAAGTCTTCAGAGAAGAAAAGGGGAGATGGATGTATTACAGTATCTTCAGAGAGTCAACACTTCTCTGATTCTGCTTTTTAATCACAGACTCCTAAAAAGCAAATCAGATTATTGCCTCTTGACCATCCTTCTAGCAAAGGTATCTAAAGAAAGATTGAGTCAATCTTTGCTTGCTAGCCTTTTTTCTTATCTGGGCTGTTCAGCAACTTTTCACAATTCTCCATTTTTAGAAGCATCAACTTGAAGAAATCTTTTCTAATTTAAGCAGTTATTGTTAGGATCCAATCTGGGTTGGTCACAAGGACCAGAGGTTTAGTCTTCCGAGCCTTCAGACCCATTCTGGAGCCCATCCTCAGGGAACTTCTTTCTCACCAGACATATTCCTTGAGGATGGACTCCAGCAAGAATCCAAAAGTTTGGAAGTAAAAAGCCCAGTGACCAACCCAGATTGGATCCTGCAACATTATCCTGAGACACGTATATTTGCTTTCATTCATGGTTATTGTTAGGCCTGGCTTCTGAAGGCAGAGCGGCAGCTAATAATTCAGCTGCACCAGTCATTGACATTAATGTTGTTTAAATCCCTCCAGGCTGCATAGGCTTTCAGATCGTTCATGCCTTGGTGGTATGCCAAAAGAGTTAATCAGCCTGGTTTCTAAGGTGTCATCTAAAGAATTTTCATTAGACAGAGTAGTTGCTTAAACTTGGTTGTCAAGGTCACAGATAGTACAGGAGCACCGGGGACATTATCAATTGGCACTATATCTATGTAATTAATATCAATGTCATTTGCAACAGCTGTCTCATTTGAAATAATCAACAGCTTTACTTTCTCTTTATGAAACAACCATGCTGGAATAATAATAAAAAGTTAACTGATAAGGTTGCAAAAATAATCCGTAAATAAACTACTATTATTACAAAAAGGTTTTCATTTTATACAATTTGGACTACAGAACAGTTAATATGAGAAGATTCCTCTTTCTGCCATGGTAGGATTCTTTTTCCTATCATGCTTGGCAACCTTTGGATTGCATTCAAATCAGTCTGATGATATTAGCAGCAAAGGGGTGGACTGAATAATGAACAAATGCTTTCCAAGAGAACCAGTGGCCTCTATTAACTGTATTAGAGAGAATCTGTAATGTGATCTGGTTAGATTGAGGGCCAACTATTTTATTTTTGTGGGTTCAGTCTCACTTGGGAATCAGTTAATATATGATTATCCAATGTGCCAGTTTGCTGAAGGCTTCAGTAATCTAGAACTTTTATAAAAGCTGTCAGCCTATCTGGATGTTTTTTCACAAATGTTTTGAAGTATCGGTACTTCTTGACTTATGGCCGATTGTTTAATGACCATTCAAAGTTATAACAGACTTTTAAAAAGCTACTTACGATCCGTCCTCAATGTTACAACAGTGACACTGCCCTCACCCATGGTCACATGTTTGCATTTTGGGCATTTGGCAAGCAGCTTGCATTTACAGCCAATTGCAGAGACCCACAATCACAGAACTATGATTAGCATTGTTTTTTACTTGTTTTTGGTGCTTTTTGCCTGTTTCCAGCAAAAACTTTGTTTTGTGGTCTCCAGTAAAAAAACACCCATTCAGAAGAATGGATTCACTAAATGACCACATGGTTTGCTTAATAACTAGGTGATTCATTTTATGAAACCATTGAACTCACTTTACAATCATCATAAAAACAGTCATAAAATCATAGACTTGATTTTGGTCTCTGCAATAACTTAGTCTCTGCAATAACTTATGACCAAAATTCCAGACTCCATTGTGGTTGTAAGTCAAGGACTACCTGTAGCCTTTTAACAAGTCTACACTTTTTGTTTTACTGCTACTAATTATCCATAAATAACCATGACAGTTTATTACATTATTACATTACAGCTACATCTTCCTTCAGAAATAATTTTTCTTGTTCATCACTAAGGGCAGAGAAGGATCTCCAAGAGATGATTAGGGGGCATTTAATTGTATCCACCAAAACAAACTAGAGAAGCAGAAGACAATGTGTTCTTTTGTGATCATTCTTCCAGGAAAGAAAAGAGGAGATGTATTATACATTGCTTCTACGATTCTGAGCACTGATTCCCATTCCAGAAACATCGTATCTGTTGGAAAAGAATTTAATTTGTCTTCCTTGTTTGCTGTCTTCTTACTAGTTGCTTTTTAAAGGAAAATATTGGTTTTTTAAAATTTCTTTGTTGGCTTTGCAGAAATCAGAGTGCTTGGGATGTTTGCATAATATTGTCCTCCATTCTCAGTATTGTCAGGATATGCATATGTGCACCTTAAATAAATAAAACTAAACACTACAGATAAGATTGGAACAAAATGCACTGCCCCAAATGGTAACGCAATACAACAATAAAAACAAAAGAACAAAAGAAAAAGGGAACATAATTAGCTATCCCAGCAGCTGCACAATGATTGTTATTTTTCGCCCACCAGCTGGATGGGATGGTGCAAATCTGTAAACTATTGTAGAGGTAAAGTCTAGTAAATTAAGAGCTCAAGAGTCTGCATGGAGCTGCACCTGGCTAAGTTTGGCACAGTATGGTCATCCTTGGGAAGTCAGGGGCCATCAGGTGGCCTTAGAAAACCAATCCAGGATGGAGACACAACAGTTAAAAACTCCCTTGCCAATAGCGTCACTTATTTGCATTTGCTGTTAGCTTGATAGTATTAATAAACTTAGGAAGGAAGAATGATGGAATATTTTGGCTGCAGCTCACCAACTCATTAAATAAGAGTACTTGGTGCCAGGCCAGTAGATTTTGTTCTATAAAACAACTTGAAAGAACTGGTCAGTAGCATTTAGCACAAAGCCTGTTCATACCGGTGAGAATAGTGTCATAACGCATACTCTGGTGACAGCATAGCAACCCTACTATTTGATCAATATACATACAATAGTGATATAAGGAGAATCCAATTGTAGGGTGTTTTGTGAAATAAACTCCCTGCCCCATTTTTTGTTGGCTGCCATCAAGTAAAATACAATATATTGCCTACAAAGGGCCATGTTCACTGGTGAAATGAAAAGCATGTAGAGTTGCAAAATAGGAAGGAAGGACAGCAGTTTAACTTACAGTTGGCTGAAAGGAGAGCTTTAGGAGAATGCAACACTAGAGATACTTAAATACACTCATGTAAAAGATAGTGTTCTTCGAGGAATATAATCCAACCTAATCCTCTGAACACATATGCTGGAACACTTTGGCTTGAATCCTGTAGTACACCTTCCAATTGTTTCAAGTGTTTTATTTTTTTGTTCTTTGAGCTGGTCGTTTTGTTTTTGCCTCCCTAATTTTCTTTGAGATTTAAGGCAAGACAGGATAGCACCTGGAAGGAGAGGCAATCATTGCTCTGCACCCTATATAAATGTAAGCAAATATAAAAAAGGAGCAGGACTTTGATTGGCTTCGTACATTTTGGCTTCCTGTGCAGATAACCCTGATAACAATTCAGTTCTAAGGTCACTGCAAAACCAGATAGTGGAAATGGCTCTACTGCACAATTGTTCAGTTTGATTCTCAAAACCTGAATGCTTGTAAACTTTTAAGGATTGTACCTCATTGAAACCATCCTAATCTTGGGCTCTGTCATCCTAAGTGGTTGGAGTCATGGATGATTTCAGGTTGATGATTAGGAGACGTCTTGTAAAAACAGTTGACAACAAGGGAAAACAATTTAAAAATGGAAGGAAGGGGGGAAAAACAGACCAGAAAACATGAGCATTCTTCTGGCTTCCTGTAATTTTCTCATTAACATGCAAGTTTTCAATTGTTTGTTTAGAATGTCTTTGTGCAATAATTTGGCTGCAGTGTGGAACTTCCTGCCTTGAAGAATTTGGTCTAGATAACTATTAAATCTGTATTCAGAAGGCATTAAATAGTTCTGATTTCCTACTTGATGATAATGATGCTGTCTTCAACCTATATCATTCATTGCTTTTCTCCAATGTGATACTATCTTCGCTTTTATTTACTTCTATGAATATTTAAGATTATGAGCATTCTTACATTAAAGAAAAATCTAGAAGTATGATTTGGGGCTTAGTTTGCTTCTTTAAAATAAAGTTTAATATATTTGAACATATCCAAAACAAATGGAAAAACTACATAACGATATCTCTTCATCCTTTTCTTGTAGTTGAAGTTGAGACACTTTATAACATTATTTTTCACTATATTTCTTAATATAAGGAATAATAATATTAACATCTGAAAAATCTTTCTCGTGATGCTGTTGCTGCAATCATTCAGCCACTGGGGCTCATGGGATATATTAAGGGGAAATAAAACACTTACTAGCCTGAAACTGGTACTGTATATTCATTTCTTTTTCAGCCTGGCAAGAGTCGAACAGAGTTCAGGATCCCATGGTTTCTCTGCCATGTTTTTTTTCCCTACTGGCTGCACAGGATTTTACCTAATATTACCTAATATGGTTTACAACATACAAGTATAATTTGAGTATTTTAAAAGAGAAATTGGTTTCACTTGTTTTACAGCTGTCTATAGACAAAAAAAGTAGTTATATTGAAAATAGATATTATAAACTAGCATAAACTAGTAGCGTCAGTGATGCTGGGATCTCTTCTTTCCCTCTTTATGGGGCTGATGACTGGGTTCATGGGTAACATAGCCCTGAAGATCATGACAGATCCTATTCAATGCAATACAATGGGGGGGGGAAGCAGTAACCTCCACCAACAACAACCCAAAAAACCCCCCCACAACTGAAGACAATATTGGGCAACTTCATTCTCTAAAAAACTTCAAGATCAAATCAGCACAACTGAGTATATTAAAATTACTATCATAAAGTTCTGGATGAAATACTTTCAAGTAATTGTATTTATTCAAATGATAAAAAATAATAGTTTTCTCAATTGATAGGATGTTTTATTTCATTTGTCTTTCATATGACACTTTATTCATAATATTACCAGAAAATTAAGCCACTAGCATATTTGAAATGTCTTCTTTTTAGATTTTAGACAGTTCTGAACATTTATTCTTAGTACTTAAAAAAGTGCTTGAGAGGTTAGGAAGAGGACTTATTTTTGAAGAATACAGTTTGAAGAATCATTTGAAGAATAGACATTTAGAAAAGATACCTGTACTAATTACTGACTGATAGACAAGCATTCATTTATGTTATATGTCTAATTCATTTTGGGGGAAAGGGGTCTAAGGAGATCAATTTTGCAGTGAAATAGGTAGAATATTATGGAAAGGTTGTCATGTACAGTAGGTGTTTGAGTCAAGATATCAATCACTGAAATGAGTTTCTGCTGGGATATAATTGTAAAAGAAAGGAAGAACTTAATGCTACCTTTACTTTTATTGACCACAGAGTTCTTCTAGAACTTACGCAGAAAACTGATACTTCATTTATATTACTATACACGTAATGAAAGGAAAATATGCTCTCTACCAAGGTTTTGGAAAATGTGTACTTATGCCAAGTTCTTACATGATTTCTTGTACTGTATCATAATATTTTATGATTAATTACTTAGGTTTGATTTACTTGTGGATTTGCATTGCTTTGTTTGTTTTACCATTCATGAAAGGCACATCATTATATAAAGTGATACCCTTAAAACATTACATTAAGGCATTGTGAAAGCTCTGTCTCTGCTTGAATGGACCATTAGTCAAGTCGCCGTTTTATGTTTCAATCGGTGCTACACATTTGTGCATGAACCAGACTATGAATAGGAAGATGCATCTACATCACAGAGTCCCTTTCAGTTCATAAGAGCTGCACCAATCAGCACCATATCCCTTTGTTGCAATGATGTAGTTGGGCTTCTATAGAAATTTGAAGGCTTCAAAAATTAATCAGAACACCTACTGTTCCTGTGGAAATGCAAAAATAATTTTGCAGTGTTTTCTCTGAAGCTATTTAGTAGGCAGCTTCCCAGACTATGAATGTTCATCTCATCCCACTTCTTAGCTCCCAGGACTTTTACCTTCTCCCCAGAAGACATTGATCTTGGTGTTTTCTTTTGCACAGTAGCTAGTTCTGGTTGCTTTACATGAATTTACATAGTGTACATAGGCATAACAGATCAACATGGTGTATCTTTCAAACCTGAAATAGACTCAGGAACTGGATGTTGTACCATTTGAAATGCAACAATGAAAAAATCCCCTTCACGCTGCAAATTATTTCAAATAATATTATATACTGCTAATCTAATTCATGCTTTTCAGAGTATGTTTTTATAAACATTTTCTTTAATAATTTTATTACGTTTTTCTGTAAACAGTATCTATGAAATTGCATTGATAACTGCTGATATAAAAATAGTTTTCTATTACTGCCTCAGATGATTGCCTTTCAAACAGTATTATAAGGCTACTTGCATGTATAACTTCTAATTAGATAAGGCAAATATGTATTTGGAAAACAGCAAGTGTCACAGTAATAATACAAATTATATCTGGTACAGTAATACAAATTTCTGAGCCTATAATAATTTTTAATAAATTAGGACGTGCTCCAGGATTAAATTGTTTATTACAATGGGATTCATTTTCTCAATTTCTGTGCTTTCTATTTAGGATCATGCAGACAATCCATTGGGGGCAGCAGTAACTCTGGCTCATGAACTAGGCCACAATTTTGGTATGAACCACGATACACTGGAAAGAGGTTGCAACTGCAAAACAACTGCAGACAAAGGTGGCTGTATTATGAACCCTTCAACTGGGTAAGTGCAAATTATATTTGAAAAAATATTTGCCTGTTAACTGTAACTTTTCTTTTAGATGAGAGGCATAATAATAATAATAGTAAAGTTGGAAGGGACCTTGAAGGTCATCTAGTCCAACCCCCTGCTCAGGCAGGAAACCCTATACCATTTCAGACAAATGGCTGTCCAGTCTCTTCTTTAAAACTTCCAGTATTGGAGCATTCACCGCTTCTGGAGGTAGGTTATTCCACTCGTTAATTGTTCTCACTGTCAGGAAGTTTCTCCTTAGTTCTAGATTGCTTCTCTCCTTGATTAGTTTCCACCCGTTGCTTCTTGTCCTGCCTCCAGGCGCTTTGGAAAATAGCTTGACTCCCTCTTCTTTATGGCAGCCCCTGAGATATTGGAACACTACTATCATGTCCCCCCTCGTCCTTCTCTTCATTAAACTAGACATACCCAATTCCAGCAGCCGTTCCTTATACGCTTTAGCCTCCAGTCCCCTAATCATCTTTGTTGCTCTTCTCTGTACTCTTTCTAAAGTCTCAACATCTTTTTTACATCACGGTGACCAAAACTGGATGCAGTATTCCAAGTGTGGCCTTACCAAGGCATTGTAAAGTGGTATAACTCCGAAAACTTCATAAGAAGAATACATCCTGTTCATAACAATGAGATGTTAGTGCATAGAGTCTCCCATAAATTGTTAGAATAAAAATATTCTAAATTTTCAGTTCTTAAAGAAAATAAATATATTTTGGTACTCATAGCTCCTCCCAGAACCAATTAATGACGAATACCAAGGTACCACTGTATTAGCTTGGCAGATCAAGGGATCTAGGAAGTATAGCATACCTGCCCCTCAGCAAAACTTTTGACAAATCTCTCATGATCTTCTCTTTACTAAAATGGTAAAGCAGGGTCTAGATGATTGCAGAATGACTGCACTCAAAGTTTGTTCATTAATTTCAGCTTGAGGGATGTCCTGAGTAGAACGTCCCAGGGTTACGCCCTTTGCCCAGTGTTGTTGAACAACAGTGTTTGTATCATTACAGATGATACAAAACTGGAAGGGATGACTAATACTTGAGAAGTGGTGGATTCCAAAAGATCTAGACAGGCTTGAGCAGTGGGCTGAAATGAATAGGATGGATTTAAGTGTAACAAAAAGTTCTGCAAAATAAAAGCCACATGTATATGACGAGGAGAATTGGCTTGGCAATAGCACATAGGAAAAGGATCTGGGCGTTCTTGTAGACGACCAATTAAACATGAGGCAGCAGTGTGATGCAGCTGTTAAAAATTCAAATACCATCTTGGAATACATTACTAGGAACACACAATTTAGGTCATTGAAACTGTTCCATTCTACCCCAGTCAGAGCCCAATAGTATTGTATTGCTGGTTCAAATAGTTTTGTCCTCATCCTGAATGCATAGAATTTGTGACTTACATTTGTTTCATTTTTTTCTGTTGCATTTATTGTTTGAAGCGGAGAGTCTGCAAAATCAAAATAAATTACCCTGAGAATAAAAACATGTTTTAACTAGTTCAATTTATTTAAATTGTGGTGTGCTCAATTTAAGGGAGTAGGTTACTTTTTTTTTTTTTTGCTTTTGAGAAGATGGTTCTGATCCTCTTTTTTATTATTTTTAAATGTATGTATGCACATAAATATGAACATTGCCCTTTAGTTAAAGATACTGCTGCCAATGTGGTTTTATTTATGATGAATATACATGGAATTTATTTTCTGCTCTGTTGCCTATTGTTTAAACAAAATCAGGTGGCGATGGTAATACAAGTGCTTGTTAATGATAGCCTGGTTTACCAATCACATCCAGATGTCAATTCATTATAATCTCCTTTCTTTTTTTTCACTGCTGGTTTTAAATAAATATCCTTTTCCCCCCCTTGTATCTCATGTTGTTTTCAGGAAGCTGAAAATGCTTAATTCTGAATCAGCCAGGACCAAGAATTGGTATTGCCATGTTGAATATTATAGGAGAGTTACTGGTTTGAATGCTTATTCAGAATTTTTAAAGGAAATTTGGGTGATTTTATAAATGGACATTTTGATTAGCCTGGAAATAAGTCCAGAAAAATCACTAGGTCACAGAATTGCTTACCTGCCTAGAAATCAAACAACTTTTTGCTAGATACCTGTGTTCTAATAGAAATTATAACCTTAGTTCTTTGAACAACTTATCTATTTATTTATTATTTATTATTTAAATTTATATACCGCCCTATCTCCCTTACGGGACTCAGGGCGGTGAACAGGCAATAATAAAAATCACAGTAAATATTACATAAAAGCCTGCTCTAAAATATAAAACCCCTAACAAAACCCAATCAAAACTACGCCAGGCCGGCCGCATGGAACAGATGAGTTTTCAGGGCTCGGCGGAAGAGGCGCNACCCCTGGTCTAACTGGCCAGACTAAGTTGGAGTTCCAGAAGACTTGAGGAGGAACACTATTGTTCATGTATCTTATCTGATGTAATGATTACAAAGATTTTCCATATATTTTTACACCTTCCAGCAAGCCCACCAGTGCTCTTGGTATTTTTCTCATTCTGGATGCTGTTGCCTCATCCAATTCATATGGTGTCCATCTATTATTTTGAGAACCATCTTTTGTCATGAGAACTTTATTTCTCGTGTCTAGTTGAGTCTTCATTTTATTTTTCACATGAAATCTTACTGAAGAAACCTTTCTGCCTTTTAGGCTTCTTTCTATTTATACAAAGCTACAGGTTACCACTGCCCCATGGCAAAATATTGTTTAGTATTTTATGCTAGCAATAATACATTGACATTCAGATACTGATACAAGGTCAGTATATTCTATCATTTGCATACATTTTTGTATTATTGGTGTATCAAAATTGCAGGATTGTAACAGGCATAATTATGTATCTTTACTTTAATCCTTCTTTTCACCAAACTTTAACAATTTCTGGAACACTATACGTTCACCATACCATCATATAAGCTCTTGTAAAAAGCTTAAAGTACTAAGAAAAGCTTATTTAACAGAGAAACTTCTTTGAAGATGTCACTGTTAAGATTTGTCTGCTTGGTTCTCTATTAAATGATTTGTGGCTAGGGGGAGGAAGAAAGTCATGACACTTGTGTCATTTTATTTTAATAATGAATTTGAAATCAGTCCATTTATAGCCTTTGCCCAGCACTAATTAGTTTACAGGCTTAGGAGAGACTATGCCTCCCAGTAGAGCATGATTAAATTGTTTCAACTCAACAATTTGTATCCAGTTGTTGAAATTATTGAACGAGGAGACAGCAAATAGGAAATAAATGGGTGTACATTACAAGTTTACATGAGATTCAGCAAATAGCCTCATGAACACAACTGAGATGCTTGCTAGACTCCTGCTACACTTGACTAGATGGTTGAGGAGGTTGAGGAGTATACACAGGGGCAGAATGAGTGTTGAGAAACTGACTAACACTCATTACTTTATCCAGTAATTATGTCATGTCACACTCTCCAGGAAAAAATAAATAAAGATGAGCTGAAATAATAGGAAGCATTCTAGTAGGCTATTGAGGATGAAAGACAGCAACAGGTTAAATTTGCTTTCTGATACACATATGTTGTTATTGGCTACACCATTGTTCTGTAACTTCCACCACTGACATAAGTCTTGGTCAAGCATGAATCTGAGTACAAATAAAGAGATCAAATAAGCTTCTTTGGAATCATGTTAGCCTTTATAAGTTAGCCTTTATAAGAATTGTATTCTCAATAGAACTTTGCTTGGAAAATAATTACTTTTGGTTTTAGGCAGCTGTCAGAGAGCCTGACATCTTTCTTATTAGGATTGCACAATACTTCAGATTTGATTCCAGAAAGGTATTTCAGGGCATTCAGAGATTAAGCAAAACCCCAAGTCTGCCACAGTCTTCATAATTTAAACCTGTCCAGTTTATATATGTATATTGCTATTCCAAATGTCTTTTTTAGTCCATTGCTTTGTTTTCTTTACCCTAATTTCTTCTAGCCATCTTTTTATAGAGTTACATCTGAGTATATGACCCAATAATGTCTCTATTTTCTTTCTTTGGTAGCTTTTGGAGGCTTCTTTATTCCTATGCCATCCCTTGGACTTGAGAATTTGATCTTTTTATTCATCCTAAATGCCACTTTTCAAAACCTCCTTAAATATGGTTCACGTCTCACAGTTATAAAGAAGAATTAACCAGATGTTATAATTAATAATTCTCACTCTTAATTTTAAGTCAATTTTCCTTGAGATCAGAATATTTTTCATGCTTAGAAAAGTTTTCCTTTTTTAAAAAATATATATCAGAGCTCCACAACCTTTTTGGCTTGGCGGCCCAGAGGGAAAGAGAGGAGCAGGGAAATGTGTGTGTGTGCATGTGCGCATGCACAAACTGGCGCATGCACTGCAGCAGCACTAGTGTTCACACATGCATGAGCGGGTTGCTAGCACCCACAAAATGCTGGCAGTGCTGCTAGCACCCCCATGCATGTGCAAATGCTGTTAGTGCCCATGCGGAGGCACTAGCATGAGTGGGGGGGTGCACGCACACGTGCACGCACTCACCAGCCATTCCCGCAGTCTGGTGGCCAACAGTTGGGGACTCCTGTTATATATGATCCAAAGTTTTCACTTGCTGTATTCTCAATTAGAAGCTCCAAGTTCTTTTCTTTTTCTACCAGGATCACAATATCATCTGCATATCTTGTTTATTTTCATATCTTCATATTTAGTCCGGGTGCAATGCTTAGTTCATCAAATATTTTTCAGTGTAGACATGGAAAAGGAGGGGTGAAAGGACACAATCATGGTAAAAAATGTTCTGGATTGAAAACTTCTTTGAAAACACTCCTTCAAGCTTTAAAGAAGTTTGCTTCCAGTGTAGATTCATTATAATACTACCATAATGTTTTTGCCATCCTTTCCAATTCAATAGCAATTCAAGCCTGCTGATTGCCTGTGGTTGCAATGCAAATGCTACAGATACAGTAC